GTCCCTTCCCCATCCCTAACCATCCTAATGCCACCATTACCACTGCACTCGCAAAAAGCATAATACAAAATAATATTCACCCAACTGTGACCTAGAGGACTCCCACCATTGATGCTGCACTGGCTGCTTACCTCGACTACCGGTTACACATGTTGTCCTTGCCACAGAATACTAGTCCTCGACTACCACAAAGACCATATGAGCATCATGAAGGAGAGCAAACTACTCCTTGGACATGTCAATCGCGATTGGAATAGCCTTTCTTTAAGGCTACGAGATCGCAACAAACTTTTCTAAAATGACAAGTGACTAACAAACACATGGAACTTTTTACGTAGAGCCTCGATGGGCATGTACATGCCCTGTTTTTCCTCAGTCTGTTTACTTGCTTGAAATTTCATATGCAAAAATTGCTTTGCTTCCCTCTTTTCATTTTGGATTTGACGGCTTGGCTACATGGACTTTTTTTTTCTTTGGGCATGTGACATTCTTGTTGTTCAATTTTGTGTGAACATTGTAATTTACTTTACTATGTTTCCGGTTTGGTAGGTCCCTTAAGAGTGTGTTTGGTTGCCATCACTAGCCTTCACTAGATTAGGCTGTGCTAAAACTTAGAGCAATACCGTGTTTATTACGCAGCAAGACAATATTTAGTGGGACTAGTCGGGACTCGCCTCGACAAAGGACATCGCTAGACGGTCTTAGCGAGTCCCATCGAAAAGCATGGGATTGCTAAGACCTTCACTGCTTCACTTCGGGTGGTGTATTCAATAGAGAATTGGAGAGACTTTAATGGATTTATAAATTCATGAATTTTTATTGAGTTTAATTGATTTGTAGAGATTTCATATAAAATTTTGATTCAATTCCCTCAAAATCTCATGAAAAGATGTGAGATTTGTGAATGCTTAAAATATACTATGAAATCTCTCAAATTTCCTCTAATTCCTCAACTTTTTCAAATTCTTTAAAATCAATTTCTAATTGAATACACATGAAATGTTATAAACTTCTTTAAAATTCTAATTGAATAAATCCGAATTTCTAAGAATTTTAATAAACTATCTTAAAATTTTAATTACATACACCTTAAATTTAAGAAAAAATCACTTAAAATCCTGATTGAATATGTCTTGATTCATTAAAAAAATTATAATCCTCAAAATCTCAATTAAATACACCCCTTCATCTGCTGTTCTTCGTCCGCTTCTCTCTCCCTTGCCCTAACTATCTGCTTCTATCTCTCCCTCCATTCATCATGCCGGTCGAGATCGGCGTCCCTCTCAATTGCTTCCCGGAAGCCAGAGCCGTCGAGCACGTTCGAGTCTTGGCCCAAGACATCGACGACCGCCAGGTGAGCTCACTTTTCATTGCCCTCACTGCATTTTTCTCCCTTTTTTGTCCAAATTGAAAGAAAACAATTGGGATTTTTCGCTGGGTTTGATTTGAATTCCATTGTAATTTCTATTGGAGAGATTGGGTACAATGTTTTGTTTTGGGTTGAGGTACTTTCGCAATTTCCTAATTTGTTGAGAGGAAGGGCATCCTGGTTTGACGGAGGTTGCTCGATACATTACAGGGCAATTGGAAATGATAAAGTTGATCTTCCATTGATTCATTACTTGGTGTATTCTGTATTTTGATTGCATGTGTTTGTTTGTGCATTGGGTTTTGTCCGTTCGGTTAATTGTGTTGTTTTTGCTTCAAATATTGATGGATTTCTGACCGATATTGTTATATTTGGGTCTTTTTACACCCGGTGTTGGTTGTATGCTTGTGATAATATGCTTTGTGTGCGGCTAGTCCGGCATTGCACCAAACGTTTCATAATTCTAGTACTGTAGTCTAAGCCAAGCCAATCCATCTTAGTCCCTGAAGTTAATCCAGTCCGAGATAGTCGGTGCAACAAACGCACCCTTAAGCTCTACTTGAACCAGTAAAACCTGCTTGGTGATGTGAGCACAAAATACCTATTAATCAGATAAGCAAACCCAATTTTAACTTGCAAGCGCACAAGACCAATAGTATTATAATAAGAGCAAGTATGAAGTCGTTCCCACGAATATTGAACTTTACATTAATTTGAATCTCAACTCAATTCAAATTCAACAAACTTTTAACACAAATAGGGCCGAAAATTTTACCAAGAATGAACGCGCCAAGGAGATCTCAAAACCCTAAATTACAAGTGGGTGGGAAGAATATTTGAGTGCTTGTAATTGTTTCTCCATATGCTTCTACAGTAAGCAAGGCTTCTATCATTGTCTGTGATTAGTTTACTTTTGTGTTCTCAACCGCATATATATCACTTTGCACTTAATGGTTTGAGGAAATTAAGGCTCAAGACTTACTGACATTTTCATGATTCTTTAAGAAATCCATTGAAATCTTACTAAATTGTCTAACAAATGAGCAATTTGATTCTTAAGTGTTGGAGGAAAGATTAGCAGTTTTAAATTATACTGCAGAAAGGAAGAATACAAGAGAATATATATGGAGGATGAGTTTCGAATGGGGACTGAAATTTACTTAACTTTATTGCTTTCAGTTTTTTATTACAACACTAGGCCATCTTAATGGCTATTTATAATAACATTCGGATCTTTTGATAGCAGCCATCACTCTTGGATTAGTTCCGAGAGACACAACTCTACATTACAGAAAGTGCATTGCGTTTAACACTTACATCATTGACTTGATCCTAGTTGATCTAAGGTTGTTACATATATCCTCCTTAGGTTCCTGAGTAATCCTCTCTAGTTCCTGTTGAAATCTCTCCATGGCCGAGAATGGCAAGCACATTGGTACCAATATTCCATCCTCAGTGTTGTTTTTGTGTTGACTGTAGAAGCTAATCAAATCCAAAGCCTTGGCCGGTCCAGCAAATACCGGTTGTCCCCATCCAAAATTGACATCTCCAAAACCTGCACGCGTTGTATCGGAAACTATTAAATAACTTCATGTCGATGAATATTGAGGTCGCCCTCTTAGTACCAAAAGATCTGCCACTGATCTTAAGTATTCTTCATTCATGGTAGCTTTAGCCTTCTTCACCAACTCCAAAGCATATCCCAGTGGATTTTTGCATAGAGGTTCAGCCTTTGAAACTGCAGCGGGAAATGCAAATGCATTGCCATAGTATCCCAAGGGAAGACGTACATTGTGGTGCTTTCCCCGTGCATTGACAACGCATGAAACGCGAACAACCTGTTTTGGATTAATTTTAAGTGCAAGAGTGCGACATTTCCACAAACAAGCTATGATCAAGTCAAACGTGGAGCAAGTGGAAATTAGTTGGGGTGGAATCTGTTTTCGAGGGACTCTCATCTCCTTGGCACCAAAGTAGAAAGATCGTTGAAGCATGTTTGACTGGTTACTGGATGCGTATGAGCCATCAGAATGATCAATCACTTCTTCATATTCATGATGAGCACATGTAATTCTTGGTGGATCTCGAGCGAACTGGAGCTCTCTCTCCCACACTAGTAGAATAGATGGTGCATGTGCGCCTCTTGCCATCTTCGCAACGGCGGTCAGGAACTGGAGAAATCCAGGTGCATCACACATTGTGTGGTTTAGGCGCAATGCAAGTATGAGACCTCCACATGTAAGACAGGTCACCTACATATTGCAAAAGTTAGTTACAAGACTTTTTTCTTGATCATCATATTCTTGCTAGTTAACAATTCTTTAGAGGAAAAGACAAAAGAAACCCATCTAAATTATATGATCTAATTAGGAAACAAAAATTTCATAAAAATTAGAGTCTCTTTGAAATAGTCTTGTGCCTGTTGTAGCTACTTGAAAGTCTTTAAAAACAGGGGAATTTAGACAAAACGCTTATAGAAGATAGAAAAATTTAGACAGAAGACAAAGAAGACGACATGACGACAGGCAAGAAGAAGAACGACATAGGAAAACCTAGACACTAAAGGTGACGTGAGACTGGTGGAAAACCTAGGACCTAATTAGGCAGATACCATGTAGAAATATAATTTCCTCGATTCGGTGTGTAAACATAAGGACTGTCAAAGAAAAATTAGTTTAAAAAAATAATGGAGAGCATCTCATAATCTTTTCTTTCCAAAACCACCTAATGATTTTTTTTTAATCATAGGAACAAAGAGGTGTGGTAGTATTGTAGATAAGTTCAAGTTTGGGTGTGGTGGCAGTATGATAAATTTTCATTTATGAAAAGGGTTGCCAATTTTATGAAAATGTTAAAAATAGTTGCGGTGCCACCAAACTTCAACTTATTTACAATATTGTTAGCGTTTTCTTGTTTATGTCCTTATTTATCATTAAAAATTTCATATGTTGTTGATTGCACTAATTTCTTACAAAAAAACTCCGGCGTATGTAACTCAAAAAACACTACTCCTACCCTTAACTTACTTCAATTTTTTTGTAAAGAATTAATGGCAATGACCAAATATGAATACCAAAAACTAATTAATATGTCATTAATAATTAATTGACTCACCTGAACCAGCAGCAAAGGACAACCAATAATTCCATCAGAGCCTGGGAAATTAAATAAGAACTCCTCTAAGAGTGAAATTTTGTCTCCTAGTTGCTCAAGTGTGACATCAGCAGAAGCCTTGACAAACAAGATACCTTCACCATTGCAATCGACCATGAGTTTTCTGTTAGGCCTTTCCCTAAGCCTGCCAGCTAAAGGATAGTAATACACTAATGCTCTACTTAAGGCTTCCCTAATCACCTTAATGGGATTACGACTTTCATTAAGTGAAGGGCTGTTTTTGTAACACATTATGACTGAAACTTGAAACCTCAAGCTTTCTTTGTCATCAATATCTGAGAGAAACTTTGTTTCTCGAGGCGTTGGCTTTGCCGGAGTTATAAGTTCTGGTTGCATTCGTTTCACCTGAAGTACTGAGGATGGCATCATTTCAGTAACGAGCTTAAGAACCAGCAAAAGATCAAAGGATTTTGAACTTTTTTTTTGCCGCAGGCATGCTAGTTAAAAGTTGATACGGTCAGTACTTAATGGCGTTATGCAGATGCTCTAGGGTTCCCCAATCTTTCGTCCAAGTTTCTACCCCAGTCGAGATTCTTATCTTTTCCATTAAATATGTGGTTAGAAAGAAACGTGTAAATGATCTTGCAATCAACTTGCTGTGCAAACAAAAAATGTTGTCCCGAGCCATGAGCATGGGACCATTTCCATTTCACACCACAGATTCGTAGATCTACATTGATACTGAATTTCATTTCAACGTCAGAAAATTGAATACAACCAGGGATACGAGGACCGGTGTTTGGTAAAAAAACCTTTGACAGAAATCAAAGGAAAAAGGCCTACATTTTATCTGCCTCACGTTACAGCTGTCACAGTTCTAAAACATCAGATTCGTACATATATATATTAATACTGAATTTCATTTCAACCTCAAAAAACTGAATACTAACAGGGATATGAGGACAGGTTCGGTAAAATACCTTTGATAGGAATGGAAGGAAAAAGGCCAACGTCGTACGTACCTGCCCCAATGACAGTTGTCACTGTTGTACAACATCGATCAGACGTCTGCTATACTGGAAAATGTTGTTGTTTTATAATGACTGGCATATTAGCACGGAAGAATAAGGTCATCTCCAATCGATCCGATCAGAGGGTCAAAAATAACCCGAAATGACATGAAAACTGTCTTCAACTTAGGGCTAGGCCAAAGAGCTCGTGGGCTCCATCGGGCCAAAAAAGAGGAATTAGGCCAATCGGTTAGCCCAAATGAGCCAACCAGCTAGCCCCGGGCCATACACAGAATGGCTTGCAAGCGGAAGGCGAAGGCCATGACTCAGGAGGTAGCCGCGGCTAATGATGACAGAGAGGAAGCGAGGTTTCTTGGGAAAAAGCTTTTTCCCAACTTCATCAAATTTCAGGCTCTAATTGAAAATTTCGACCTCTGATCAAATCGAAATTCGAAATTTAGGGCTTGGATTGGTGAAATGGCGATGCTTTTGGAGGATATTCTGAAGTCGGTGGAGCTCTGGTTAAAGATGATCAAGAAGCCCCAGCCTTACATGGACCCAAATCTCGACCCCGTTCTGCTAGTTTCGGGCATCGCCGGTTCGGTCTTGAATGTCGTCAATGAAGAGAGTGGTGCATAATTAAACAAAAGCTAATTTGTGGCTTTTCATTCTCGTGTAGGTGCACCTGGATATGTCACTTCTACCTTTTTAAATGGAATGTCATTTGTTGATGGGTGGGAACATAATTTTTTTATATCAAAATGGAGCATGCACCAACTGGTATGAGTCCATTTCTATGGGCCGTGGAATTTGAAACAAAAATGTAATCCTTTTACGGGATGAAGAAAGTTATTTGTTAAAAGAGAGAATGTTTTAAAATTAAAACAAAAAATAACATAAGATGGTAGAAGTATTTGATAGTAAAGCATTTCACAAACATTTATTTCTTCTTTGCATTCCTTTTTTTAGTATTGAGGTTTGTTGCAATTTTACAGCTTATTGAGTGCCCATCAGTCTATGAATTGATGAATTGTTGTTTTTAAATTTAAGTTGTTATAGTTTTTATATTAAAATAATAAATTATGTTTGGCCACTTGGCCCCCTCGATTGGAGATGGTTTTTTGTCACAAGGCTATGTTTGGCCTATGGTCCTTTGGCCCCTCGGTTGGAGATGGTAAGGCCATCTCTAACCGAAGGGTCCAGAGGGCCGAAAATAGCCCGAAAACGCCCTCCAACTGAGGGTCATGCCAAAGGGCTCGTGGGTCCCACTAGACAAAAAATGGCCAAAAGGCCAACTGGCCGGCCCAAATGAGCCAGCTAGCTGGCCTCGGGCCGGGCTCTATTTTTGAATCCCCAACGGCTAGCTAACATCAGTTACAGTTGGCTTTTGATTTTTTTTTTTGGGCCAAATTTTTTTTTTAAAATTCTCATTTTTTCCTATAAATACCTAAACCATTCCTTACAAATTTTTCACCATTCCTACACCATTTCAATTCTCATATTTTCTTACCTCTTCTAAAAATATTTCTTTCAATTTTTTCAATAATTTTCAAATGGCCTCGTCTGCAATGAAATGTAGGGCTTGGACCTGAAAAGAAGATAAAGCTCTTTGCAGGGCTTATAGATGGGTGTCGAAAGATAGTGTGAGGGTGAGTTCTTAAACAAGTGAAGGTGTTTGGACTTTTGTGTCCAAAAAATACTTAGAGTTCTACGAATGCACCACTCCACCAAATATCCGAAATCACGAGAGTTGTTCTTCAAGATGGAAGAAACATCTTCAGCCAAGTTTGAACAAATGGCACCAAGCACTATTAGCAGTTACGATGAAGTAAGTGTTTTCACAATTTATTTTAAATATTTAATTATATTACATTTAATTTCATAAATTAATTTCTTTAATTTTTGTAATTATATTTTCTAGATACGCCAAGCGGAGGAATTGTATATGGAGGGTAGCTCGAAACCCTTTCAGTTTCACGGTTGTTGGGAAATTTGTAAACGATGGGTGTTATTTGAAGATCTACCTCAACATAGAGTAAGTCATACGCCGTTGTTTGAAACTGCATCCTCAGCTGTAGATATGGATGAAGATGGATCTCCTACCATTCAACAAACAAACGTAGAAAATCTGTCTTCGGGTGAAGGTTCCATACCTAGGGCTATGGGACGAAACAAGGCCCGAAGGTTAAGGAAAAGGGCAACGTAAATGATGATTACGCCGCTCAACAGGAAGTGGCGGCCTCATTGCGATTAATGGCGGAGCAAAATGATATTGCCGCGGAAGAAATGAACCATAGGCATGAAGAATAGGCCAAACAAATAAAAGAAGAGATGGATGATAAGAATATGGAAATGAACACTTCGAATTACACTCCAATGAGTAAGGCCTATTTTGATAGGAAAAAAAAAAGATATTATGACTCGGCGGCAGTTGTTTACCTCTAACTATACTCCTACAATGGCAAATGATGAAGATGATGTTGATTATGGATATTAAATTTAAGTTGTTGTAGTTTCTACATTTAAGTTAATGTTGTTTTTAAATTTAATTTGTAGTTTTTAAATTTAAGTTGTAGTTTTTAAATATAAGTTGTAGTTTTTAAATTTAAGTTGTTGTAGTTTTTAAATTTAAGTTGTTGCAATTTTTAAATTTAAAAAATAAATTATGTTTGGCCCTATGGCCCATTTGTGTGACAGCCCGTCCCAAACGTATTTATCATTTTGTCCTCGAGAGCATGGAATTTACTAGAATAGCCTTGGGCGTTGAATTATTTTGTGTGGTGTTGTGAATTAAGCTTAGGTTTTGGACCAATTAGTTCTATTCCTAATTAATTGGACCTAATTAGAACTAAAAAGCCTAAGGTGTTGGTTGATTGGCTGCAAATTGGACCACACACACACCAAACAATTCCGTTAATTCTCTTTCTCTCTCCCCCTTCTCGGATTTTCTTCCATTTCCATACAACCGTACGGTCATTTCCTAAACCAGTTTTTCCTTGCACAGATCGAGGCTGTGAAGTTGGTTTTTGTGTTCCTTGCGAGGCTAGGAGCTCATCCATACCCTTGGTGGGACGTGAAGACGTCAGGAACTCAAGAACCAAGAAGCTCCGAGGAGCTACACTGTTCACTCGACGTGATCGTAAGTGCTTCTTAAAGTTTTGAGCTCTTTGGAGGTCTTAAATCGTCTTCATGAAGCTTTTAGAAGAATTTTAGAGGGTTTTGAACGTCGAGAAGCTTGGGTTTGGCGAGTTGCAGGAGTGACTGGAATATCAAAGGATTTTCCGGTGACTTCCCGTTGGTTGTAGGACTCTTAAGTGGTAAGAACTTGTTCCTTTCGTCCTAAGCTTCATTTTGGTTTAAGTTTCATGGATTTTGGTGGAAAAATGAATAAGATATGAAGATTTAAAATTTTCCAGAAACGTGTGGAGAACGTTCGAGTGGTCAGGCATTTTCCTAACGTATTCCCTGATGATTTACCTGGATTGTCGCTAGACCAAGACGTGGAGTTCACCATTGATTTACTTCCAGGTATAGATCCTATATCTCTAACTCTTTATCAAATGGCTCCTACTGAATTGAGGGAGTTGAAGATTCAGTTGCAGGAATTAGTTGATAAAGGTTTCATTCAGCCTAGTACTTCACCCTGGGGAGCTCTAATTTTATTTGTGAAGAAGAAAGATGGGACTTTAAGGCTATGTATTGATTATAGACAATTGAATCGGGTAATGATTAAAAACCGTTATCCATTGCCGTGTATAGATGATTTATTTGATCAGCTTCGAGGCGCTTGTATGTTTTCTAAGATTGATTTAAGGTCTAGTTATTATCAATTGAAGATTACAAGTGAGGATGTCCCTAAGACAGCTTTTAGGACTCGATATGGTCATTATGAGTTTCTTGTCATGCCATTCAGGTTGACTAATGCACCTGCAGCTTTTATGGATCTGATGAATCGAGTATTTCATCAATATCTAAACAGGTTTGTCATTGTTTTCATTGATGATATTCTGAAATCAGAGCATGTTCGGCATCTCACTTTGGTGTTGAAGAAATTGAGGGAACACCAGTTGTATGCTAAGTTTAGCAAGTGCCAATTTTGGCTAGATCAAGTGGCATTTTTGGGACATGTTATATCAGCTCAGGGTATTCTGGTGGATCCTCAAAAGGTAGTAGCTATTGAGAATTGGGAGCAACCACGAACCGTCACTAAGGTATAGAGTTTTCTTGGTTTAGTAGGTTATTATCAACGGTTTGTTAAAGATTTTTCAGTTATTGCATTACCACTGATGCGATTAACCAAGAAGGATGTTAAGTTTGAGTAGGATGATAACTGTGAGCAGAGTTTTCAGCAGTTGAAATATTGTCTCACTCATGCACCTGTTTTGACGCTTCCTGGTGATAGTGGTAATTTTGAGATCTACAGTGATGCTTCCTTGAATGGTATAGGATGTGTGTTGATGCAGCATGGTAGGTTCATCGCTTATGCTTCGCGTCAGTTGAAGCCTCATAAGATGAATTATCCTACTCATGATCTGGAGTTAGCAGCTATCGTCTTTGCTTTGAAGATTTGGAGACATTATCTTTATGGTGAAAAATGTCAGATTTTTACGGATCATAAGAGTCTTCAGTATCTTTTCACTCAGGGGGATCTTAATCTTTGACAACAAAGATGGATTGAGTTGCTCAGTGATTATGATTGCACGATTGATTATCACCCTGGTCGTGCAAATGTGGTGGCAGATGCACTTAGTAGGAAGCCTCAAGCGAGAATTAATGCTTTGTACACTTGTCATGCTCCTTTTCTTGCAGATTTGAAGTCCGCTGGAGTGAAGTTAGGGGTGGAAGAAAAAGAGGAAGCTTTACTTGCTAATTTTCAAGTTAGGCCAATTTTAATTGATCGAGTGCTCGAGGCTTAAATGAATGATGAGGAAACCCAGGAATTAATTCAAGCAAGAAATGATGAGAAAAAGAAAGATCTCAGAATTCGGGAGACTGATGGTATGCTTATGCAGGAAGGAAGAATGTATGTGCCAAATAATGCAGAGTTAAAGAAAGAAATTTTGATGAAGCGCATGTATCGGCATATGCAATGCATCCTGGAGGTACTAAAATGTATCATACTATTAAACCATTTTATTATTGGCCGGGTATGAAAAGGGAAATTGCTGAGTATGTGAGTAGGTGTGTCATTTGTCAGCAGGTCAAAGCTGAGAGGAAAAAGCCATTTGGAATGATGCAGCCACTTCCCGTTCCACAATGGAAGCGGGAAGATATTACTATGGATTTTGCATACAAGCTTCCTCGTACACAAAATGGTTATGACGACATTTGGGTAATAGTGAATCGACTTACTAAGTCAGCGCATATTATTCCCGTAAGGGAGAAATATTCTTTAAGCCAATTAGCTGAATTATTCATATCAAAGATTGTTAAGTACCATAGAGTTCCGGTTAGTATTATCTCGCATCGGGATCCTAGATTCACTTCTAAGTTCTGGGTAGCATTTCAGGAGGCTCTTGGTTCGAGGTTACTTTATAGTACAGCATATCATCCTCAGACAGACAGGCAGTCTGAGATGACTATTCAGACATTAGAGGATATGCTGAGATCTTCGGTATTACAGTTCGGTGACGCCTGGCATCAACGGTTAAAATTGATGGAGTTTGCATATAACAATAGCTACCATTCGAGTATTGGTATGTCACCATTTGAGGCACTTTATGGCAAGTCTTGTCGTACACCTTTGTGTTGGTCAAAGGTTGGTGAAAGAGTTTTAGTGGGCCCTGAGATTGTAGAGGAGACTACTCAGAATATTCATGTAATTAAATCTAACCTAAAAGCAGTCCAGGATCGACAAAAGAGTCTAGTAGACAGGCATGTCATTGATCGAGTGTATAAAGTTGGTGATTGGGTGTTTTTGAAGCTATCACCGTGGAAAAGTGTAGTACAGTTATGGAAAAAGAGTAAGCTAAGTCCTAGGTACATCGGACCCTATCAGATCACTGAGTGAGTCGGTGAAGTTGCTTACAGGCTTGAGTTGTCTTCAGAGTTTTCTAAAGTGCACTATGTATTCCATGTCTCTATGCTTCATCATTATATCTCTGATCCATCACATGTGATACCTCATCAACCATTGGAAATTAATTCAGATTTGACTTATGAGGAAGAGCCAGTGACAATTTTGGATTGGAAAGATAAGGTTTTAAGGAATAAGACTGTGCGCTTGGTGAAAGTTTTGTGGAGAAATCACTCGGTGGAGGAAGCCACCTGGGAGACGGAGGAGAGCATGAAGAAAATGTATCCACACTTATTTTATGATTATTAGTGGTTTGTATTAGTGTATGAAATTTTAAGGAAGAAATTTTATTAAGGGGGTAGGTTGTGACAACCCGTCCTGAAATATATATTATTTTGTCATCGAGAGCATGCAATTTACTAGAATATACTGGGACGTTGAATTATTTTGTGTGGTGTTGTGAATTAAGCTTAGGTTTTGGACCAATTAGTTCTATTCCTAATTAATTGGACCTAATTAGAACTAAATGGCCTAAGGTGTTGGTTGATTGGCTGCAAACTGGACCACACACACACCAACCAATCCCGTTGACTCTCTCTCTCTCTCTCTCCTCCCTCTCGGATTTTCTTCCATTTCCGTACAACCGTACGGTCATTTGCTAAACTAGTTTTTCCTTGCATAGATCGAGGCTGTGAAGTTGGTTTTTGTGTTCCTTACGAGTCCAGGAGCTCATCCATACCCTTGGTGGGATGTGAGGACGTCGGGAACTCAAGAACCAAGAAGCTCCGAGGAGGTACACTGTTCACTCGACGTGATCGATAGTGTTTCTTAAAGTTTTGAGCTTTTTGGAGGTCTTAAATCGTCTTCACGAAGCTTTTAGAAGAATTGTGGAGGGTTTTGAACGTCGGGAAGCTTGGGTTTGGCGAGTTGCAAGAGTGACTAGAATATCGAAGGATTTTTCAACGACTTCCCATTGGTTGTAGGACTCTTAAGTGGTAAGAACTTGTTCCTTTCGTCCTAAGCTTCATTTTGGTTTAAGTTTCATGGATTTTGGTGGAAAAATGAATGAGATATAAAGATTTTAAAATTTTCCAGAAACCGGCGATCGCAGCGGCTCCAACGCCTGACTCCGGCGAACCAAGGTTGAAGGAGGAGAATATTCCATCAACTTTGACGAAATATTCTAATGGCGTCAGGTATCTTTAACGGCATATTCTATATTTTAACGGAATATTCCCTAATGTCGATAGGGAATCCGTCAGTGTGCCAGGCATGTGCCTGAGCATGGGTCGCGGGTCTGGCCGTGCCTTGGCTGGCTCGTGAGTGGTCGGAAAAATTTTCTAAAAATATTAGGTTGTTCCTGAGGTTGAGTAGGTCACGGTGGTATATTCATATACCCCAATTAAGCAATGTATGAGTAGTTATTACCTAGTTTTGTTTAT